GTTGAAATGAGTCGCCCTATTGCGGTTCTTTTTGCGCGCCCGCGGGCGGGTCGAAATGCGGCGCCCAGTTGCGGTTGCCTTTGCGCGCCCGCGGGCGGATCGAAATGTGTCGCCCAGTGCGGTTGCGCGCCGCGGGCGGGTTGAAATGTGTCGGCTATGCGGTTGCGGTTGCGCGCCCGCGGGCGGTTTGAAATGCGTCGCCCAGTTGGGGTTGCGGTTGCGCGCCCGCGGGCGGATTGAAATGCGTCGCCCCGTTGCGGCTGCGGTTGCGCGCCCGCGAGCGGGTGAAATGTGTCGCCCAATTGCGGTTGCGCGCCCGCGGACGGATTGAAATGTGTCGCCCAAGTGCGGTTGCGGTTGCGCGCCCGCGAGCGGTCTGAAATGTGTCGCCCAGTTGCGGTTGCGGTTGCGCGCCCGTGGACGGGTCGAAATGTGTCGTCCAGTTGCGGTTGCGCGCCCGCGGGCGGTTTGAAACGTGTTGTGCAAGGTGCCGTCGTGACGTTCATTCAATCAATCAAACAGTCAATCAGTCAGTCAGTTAGAGTCACTGGCGGGTACGGAATTTCACCCGGCTCCGCCGGGAAACAAGAGCCACCCTCCGTCGCCGAAATTGTTGTAAACCTTGTACGGCGAATACTCGCGGTGCACAGGCGGGGGCCGCATTTCGAAAACCATCCCGTCTTGCCGCGAAGCTGTTGCAAGTTTGAAGACGTACGTGCGCGGCGCTGAGGCAAGAGCCAAACGCCCCCCTTCCACCCGTGCACAAGCTGAAGAAGGAGGCTTCAGGATCACCAATGACCGATGGCGAGGAAGCCTTTGGCGAAACGCTCAGCCCGCCCTGCCGACACGTTCGGGGGGGCGGCAGGGAGGATTTCTTCATAATGGAAAAGATGCAGCAGGAGGAGGAGGAGGGGCAGGAGGAGGGGCAGGAGGAGGGGGAGATGCAGCAGGAGGAGGAGGAGGAGGAACAAGAGGAGGACTTCTTCAAAATGGAAAAGACGCAGCAAGAGGAAGAAAAAAAGGGCTGGTTAATACGTCGAATCGACCCCCTACGACGGCAGCATCCTTTGAGTGGCCCCGCCGCTCTGCTCCTGTCCCTTCCTTCCCCTCGTGCATTTGGTGTCGGCGGTTGGTAACTCCATCCCTCCCTCCCCCTCACTCTCCCTCCCTCCCCCTCTCCCTCCCCCCACGTCCTCCCTCCCTCCCTCCCCCTCCCCCTATTCCTCCCTCCCCCTCTCCCTCCCCCTCTCCCTCTCCCTCTCCCTCCCCCTCTCCCTCCCCATCTCCTCCCCCCCCCTCTCCCTCCCCCCACGCACTCCCCATCCCCCTCCCCCGCCCCTCGATTTCGGCAGCTCGCACCCCCCCCCCGTCGCTCTGGGAACCGCCCTCGGCAGCGGACGGGGGCGCCGGGGCCCCCTGCCCGCGCGCGGCACACCGCGCGCGGCGCGGGCGGTTTCGGAGGGGCATCGCCCGCGCACCGCTGCGCCGGGGCCCTCTCCCCTTCCCCCCCGACCCCCCCCCCCCCCGAACACCACCGTGAAGTCGGGC